CGCATGTCCCTATATAATGCAAAACACCTTTTTGAAAAAGCTGGGCACGATCTGGAAAATCTTTCTGGTAAGCAAGCTCCTAATCTTGTAAAACGAATTTGTTTTGTAATGCTTTTGAGAACTTCGCACGTTTGATTTTTGTTATTTCGAAAAGGCCATGAATATTCATTCAGAAACCTATCAAAAATAATTTTCAACTTCATGTAGAACTTGAAAAGGAAATCATAATTTCTGGCCTACTCTATATTTATAGTTTCGAAATTCTTTGAGAGTCATCGAAGTTTTGCAACATGCCTTACTATTTAGCACAAACGCTCACTTATTCGAAAGGCTAGCCAGCTCATTTGCTTGTTGATTTCTCAAAGACTAGTTTCTTGAGAACCTTTTTCGTGCCTCTTTTGAAAACCCCATCGTTTCAGAGTAAATCGAAAAGACTGAAAGAAGATGAGAGGTTGCGTGGTTTGGAGAGTAAACTGAGAGATGAGGAAAAACGGCAGACGGAGCACGTTGCAAGAATACGAGCCTGGATCAACAGCGTCAAGGACGATCTTTTCGAAGCCGGACGTGAGCTTTTCGTCAGCTTGTAACATATATTCTTAGAAACTGTAATGAGCAGTTGAACGTGTAGGGCTGGAAGTTCTGTGGAGATTTTATCCTCTCGGCTCCCCAGTTCCAGTTTATCTTTTTGGTCGCTGATCTTGCAACTCGCCTCTACTCCATATGTCAAAATGATGATGTGACGAAATGGCGGTGGTTTGCCCAAGGTTATTTGCTCGAATGCTGATCACACCGTTGATAGGGTAGTGGCGCCTTATCAACGGTGTGATCAGGCGCCGAAACCCACTTCCTGGTTCGGCATTACACCTCCTTATCAGACGTGGAAGGGGATGCAACAGCAGCGTGCTAGATATGATACGGTTATCGTTATCGTTCGATTTTCATGCTGGAGTGCACCTCATTCCGTATCTTCTTATCTAATCGTATCGTATCTTCCATAGGGTTACGCTCGTCCAACCACTATCTATCTCCGACCTTATCGGTTGATAACGCGGAGTTCGGCGATCCACGTGGAAGCCAGCGTGATCGCTTCCTTTGACGCCAGGCGGTGATAGCTACCTCCCCAAGGGTTTTATTACCGCGGTATTTCTAATAACGAGCGTGGTGTCATCTCAGTGGGTGCTAACCATGCAGAGGTGGCGGCAAGGATTGGATTGGTAGCCAAATCTCGACCTTCGCCTTCAAGCGCTTTAACATAGCTTTCAACTCAACATGATGCGATTAATATTATATCTGAAACTGACAGTGCTGCACCGTAATGCTTCATTTGAGTTTTCCTTTAAAGGAAGTAGTTACGGAAATTCCTATGGAGACGATAAGGAAAGTGACATAGTGGATTGGGTAGGGGTCCTACCCAATGGGACGACAGGTGACGCTTCAGGGGCAGTGGCGCCTTATCAACGGCGTGATAAGGCGCCGAAACCCACTTCCGGTTCGGCGTTACACCTCCTTATCAGACGTGGAAGGGATGCAGTAGCAACGTGCTAGATATGATATTGTTATCATGATTGTTCAATTTTCATGCTGGAGGGTAGGGCTAAGAAGATACGGCTGCTTGGTCTCGTTCCAAGCAGCCGTATCTTCTTAGCTAATCTTGTCGTGTCTTTCATAGGGTTGCGCTCGTCCAACCAATATCAATTTCCGACCTTACGGTTGATAAAGCGGAGTTCGGCGATCCACAGCGTGGAAGCCAGCGTGATCGCTTCCTTTAACCCTTTGACTACTGGTGGGACACATGTGTCCCACTTCGTAGTCAAAGACACTACCACAGTTCCAGGGAATATTGAGGCAGGAGGGCTCATTTGATGGCTGAACTGTGCACATATAGAAGCTTTCTAATTCTTACTATGACATTAATCGTCAGAAGCTAAAGCGAGTCATCCTGCGTAAGTTAATCTTTGACTACTGGTGGTACACATGTGTCCCACTTCGTAGTCAAAGTCACTACCACAGTTTTGGCACTTATTGAGATCGGAGGGCCCGCTTTATGGCGGAATTGTGCACAACTAGAAACTTGGTAATTCTTACTCTGTCAGCGAAGTATCAGAAGTCTAAGCGAGTGACGCTGGATAAGTTGATAAGCAAGGTCGTTCCACAGGTCACTGGGCAGTGAGCACAGCTCCCGAAAAGGTAGTTTTCGAAAAGGTAGTTTTTAAATTCCAACCTCCGGAGTTTTGTCAGTTCGTTTGATGCGGAAGTGGCAGTAGAACACTCCTATGTAGAATGACGCTTGTTCGAGCATAAAAACCAGCGAAAATTCGTTAGAGGAGAAGCAGCCGGTGGGCGCAGCCTGTAGGCAGGGGAGCAGCACTTCTACAAAGTGCGGCTTGCAACTTCTTTGTCAAGTGTGTTCCCAACCGGACATTGCCTTGTTCCACGAATGAGATGTGATAGTTGTGTATTCGTTGAATGGTCTTTCAACTGTTCAAAAAT